CTGGTCTTATCCATCCGTACAATCATGTCCTGCATGTAACGTCTGGGTCTGGTCCCTGTGTTCGTGATTACAATCTGTTGTATTCCATCCGACCAATCAGAGAGCGCGGGAGGCGGGTGTTGTAGTTAGATGTGGGTGACGTCAAGAGTTTGCGTCGAGCGGGCAGGTTACAGTTTGGCGAAGAATGCAATAGTAAAGTAATCCGGTGTGGAATTTTTAGCTACTGTAATCGCTGGCAAAAATTGTGGCACTGCTCCCCACGGGTCCGTTAGCGGCAAAGGAGATGGCTAAAGCTAGGCTAAATGCTAACGACTCACTCGGGTTCAATACACACGTCACGGTAAACTCAGATCCAATGTTTTCAATCTGCAAAAGGAGTTAGCCCCTCCCACCTGTTCACGGAGTCAATGGAGCAAATCCAGACCTTAGTACCAAATGTAATTTGTACTATGGTGTGGTACGACCGGGCTAGGAATGAGGAGCTCACAGCACAAGATATAGTAAATAATGTGACAAATATCTTTGCCAATTTTTGCTTCAATCACAGACAGTCACGCTCAGATAAATGATCCTGTTTCACAACCGGTCAGACTTTATTTTTTTCTGTACGCACAGAGCGTGTGGACGTACGACTGTGGGCGCCAGATATTACTTTCTTTGTAAGAAAAGTGAAGGACCGCGGTTGACGAGTGCTGAGAATATGGTCCACATCAGACACATTTGTCTGTTAACACTAGAACTCTCAAAGCAGTCGATTTGACGGCTTCTAGTTTTGTATTAACTTTGCTTAAAACTTTGTGACTGTTTCTGGTTCTGTTTAAGCAGACTTTAGATGTGTTACTGAGTTGGCCTCAGGATCAGGGGCTAGCTAACCACTCCCATAGGTTTTAAATGTCCAACTCGCCGCTGAGCTTTCCTTTCCTTGAGAAAGTTTCCTTGGATTAAGAACGAAGCGTCAGAAAACCTTCTAGCTGACGCAGAGATGATGGGTGAGAAACCGTCCTTTGGTTTGAATAATTCCTGCTTATACCTGCTCACACAAACTCTTTCTGTTTCTATGTAGTTTATTTTTTTATGACATTTTATTTTATTTTGTAAAATTCAAATGTGGCCAATTTTAGTCACACTATGCCATTTAAAGTCCTTTTTCCCAAGATACTGGTCCTGTACTGGTTCTGGTTCAGCTTGGTTTTCTACCAGAGAAGAGCCAGGGCTAGTTACCATAGCAACCCACTGTTTACTTGCCAGCAGCTAGCCTTCACCCGTTAGCATTAGCCTTTCTGCTAACTGTTTTTGCCCTTTTTAAAGCTACATTCACCGGCTTACGCATGTATCATCTGTTAGTAAAGGTAAACCTCTTGTAAACCTCTCCATCGTGAGATCAAGGAAGTTTTATCTTTTCGTGGTAAAAATAAGTAACTCTCAGGACCCAAAATGTCTGCTCTGGGAGTTCTCCAAGCTCTGACCTTTCCCCTGTCTCACGTTGTTAGCGCCGTACACGATAATAAATCTCTCCGCGCTCTGCAACACCTTCATCTCGGCTCCCGGTCTCGCCATCCATCGAAAACTTTCATCATTCCCAAACCCCCCTCCACTTGTTTTGATCCCTTCCTTAAAAGCCGTGTGCACTGTGTATGTAATAGTTAATCACCCGAGAGGCTCTCATCAAAGCGCTGCCAAGAAGACAAAGTATTTGGGCGGCCCTCGAGCTAACTGCCAATGTCCTTAAAAGGGACGAGCTTGCGATGCCACTTTTGATCAGTCCACCGTGACTGCGTTTCTCTGTCAGACGCTCCCTGCACCGCACTGTGCCGTGTTCAAATGGATGTTTTCCTCCCAGATGGATAGTTTTTTCACGCTCCAGTTTCCTCTGAAAGTGTAGCTACATGTTCAAATACAGGCGACAAGAGTTCAGAATAAGTCAAGGCTTTGTTTGGTGATGTAACCCAGTGACATTTGGACGATTTGAGGGAGTTGCGTGACTCTGCGATACGATGATGTGTGAGTGTCAATAAAGTGGTCATTTACCCCCCTGTCCGGGTTGACCCCCCCCCTCCTGCCAATGGCCAATGAGGTGTGACATACAGTATAGGTTATATAAGTCATGGCTCTCTCGGTCTCTTGTCGTCTGATCTCGGGTCCCCTCTTTTGAATGCGCTGGAAAACGGCTGCATGTCCAAAGTAGCTCTAAAACAATTGTTTTGTGCTTTTGAATTTTTATTTTTATTGCTTTTTTCTGCCTGAGATGTTGCTGCAGCACAGAGTTCATGGTTTTACACTGGTCCAGACTAGAGAAGAGATAATTCATGGTTTTACACTGGTCCAGACCAGAGCAGAGAGGATTCATGGTCTTAACCAAGTGGATCAGATGAAAATCCACTGGAGGAATACTAACTTTTTGAAAAAAGCTAATGAAGCATTTAGCATTTTACTTTGGACCAGAGCAGAGAAAATGGTTCGAACCAAGCGGCTGCTCCACCTAGTGACCCGTCCTGCTCCACCCAGAAGCTACTCCACCTCTGCTGCTGTGACCCGTCCTTCTCCACCCAGAGGCTACTCCACCTCTGCTGCTGTGACCTGTCCTGCTCCACCCAGAGGCTACTCCACCCAGAGACTACTCCACCTCTTCTGCTGTGACCTAAAGAGCTGTTACTGATTATTACTAATTTTAACTTTTTTGAATGATTGATTTCATTTGTTATTTTTCCTGCATCTTTCAATCCAATCCGACATCTCTCTCTTTATGATTTTGTCTGTATGTGTAACTTCTAATTGTGAAGTGTAATGTCCTCTTTTACACCCTTCTGTTTGGGCCTAATGTTTAAGATAAAAACTACATGATTCTATAAAAGTATTGAAGAAGACGTAGCGTAGTTCAAGAGGAGGCTTTTGAGGTGGATCAGGCATCTGTTTGGGACTGTCTCAATCGGGAGGAGACCAGGGGCAGACCCAGGACATGTCTCTCAGATGGCCTGAGAACGCCTCAGGATTCCCCCAGATGAGCTGCAGGAACCCGACCCGGCCATGGATAAAGCGGAAGGACATGGTTGTTGGATGGATTACTACATCTGCCTGCTGTAAGAGTCACTGGAACTTGTGGATCCATCTCAGTATATTTGAAACATGAGTAAATCCCAGATGAGTCCACAGCCAGTTGTGTTTATTTTGTCCCTAGTTCAACATCTTTATCATAAAACTTCACATTGAGTTTGATTTGAATGTATAGATTACCTGCAGTGAAGCGATGATTGAGCGGGGTGTATGGAGGGCTAAGGCCAGGCTAGTTCAGGGACGACACACACACATCTGAGCCATTTGTTTGAAAATTCTGCCACACTTCATACATTGCTGCTAACCGTAACTCGGTATCGCACCTTATTGAACTTTATATTCATATTTAAGTTCGTAACCTGCACTTATTATTTGACTGTAGTCCTTGTATTGACTGGACTGCTGGTTACCATAGCAACGCACTGTTTTCCAGCTATTTCTGCCGTATTTGAAGAAATTGACGAAAGGGAAAAACCTTATGAATGACTCACTGGTGAAAAACTATATTACTCTTTTTAAGGATTCTATTTGGTTTTACTGGGAGCCGTTGAAATGACTGTGAGTTTTAGTAGTTTCAGGATCCTGCGGAGTCCCTGGTCTCACTGAGTCTGTCTCCCACCACCGCTCCGCTCTGCCTCATCCTCTCATCCACGTCTGCACTTTCTGCGGCATGTTAAATTCCTGATGAATTCTCGGCGGGGGACATTGAACCGCGATCGTTGAAGCTTCACGAGGCTCCGAGCGCCAAGGTCAGGGTGGGTTTATGGCCACCCGCTGCCGGAGCACAAGGACGGCCATTCAGAGCCACTCCGCTTACAAACCATGCTGCAGACACATTCCTGAGCTCTTCTTCTTCTTCTTTGCTGTATCCACAACTTTCTGGTGGCCCCCTGTGCTTTGGCGGGAGGAGGGTGGGAGCACTCACCCCCTCACCCCCTCACCCCTCCATCTGGTGCAGGGAGCTCTGTCAGGATGTCAGCGGGCGCAGCAGTAATGAAGGGTGTCATGAAGGTTACCGCGGGCTGGAGCCGTGCCTCCTCCTCTCCCCTTCGCCTTCACATCTCTCTTATTTCTGTAGTGAATATTTTGGATCAAGATCAACTCGAGATGAGTTTTCTCTGTGTCAAGCTGCGTTTGTCGAAGGGGGAGGCAAGGTAAGGGTGAGGTATGCTTGGTTTTGTTTGTTCAATTCAATTTTCTTTATTTACAAAACTTCAACGAGTCATTCACGTACTAATTTCTAAAGTTTGTAAGTGCTTTGTAAACAGAAACACCCGGGAAGTTGTATTAGCAAATAGATGAGGCTTTCATTTAGGCCATTTACTAAGTACTCGTTCTACAGCCTGAGTCCTGGATCTATTGCCTGTCCATCTGTGGGAGTTGATCCCTCTATAGGGCCATTTCCACAGACTCAACTCGACTCTCCCCGGCCTTTCCACCGGCTCACTTTGGCCGCTACCCAGTACTTTTTTAGTTACAGCTTAAAAAATACTAGAATTTATTTTCCATTTGCAGTCAAACCACAATGGAAAAATTGTGCAAGACTACCACAGTGTGCACCCTGGTTCTAGCCGTTCTAAGAAGATACCAACACAATCTGATCGAACGTCTGTTGTGATTGGTCAGAGTCGCTGTCAATCACTCTTCAGCTGCTGCAAAGTTGCCTCAAATTTGCTGTGTCCCTCTCTTAATGTGGGCTTCCCCAAGTCGTTCTGTGCAAATGTTGGAGAAGCACTGATGATCCTGAGCAGTAAAAGACATTGGTCTCCGCCCCTTTTGGACCAATGTCTCCAATGTGTTTGTTATTATTGTATTTCCTGTGTGTTTGATTCTCGGACCTGTTAGATTGTATAAAATTGTGTTGTTAAGTCCTCTGATACGACTGCCGTTGTGATTTATGGTTAATACATAAACAAACTGAATTTGATTAAATTATCTTTTAAGGTAGCTCAGGGTGGCGAGCTACAGGTATCTCCGGAGCTACTGGTATCTCCAAAGCTACTGGTATCTCCGGAGCTACTGGTATCTCCAAAGCTACTGGTATCTCCGGAGGTACAGGTATCTCCGGAGCTACAGGTATCTCCTGAGCTACTGGTATCTCTGGAGCTACTGGTATCTCCTGAGCTACTGGTATCTCTGGAGCTACTGGTATCTCCGGAGCTACAGGTATCTCCTGAGCTACTGGTATCTCTGGAGCTACTGGTATCTCCGGAGCTACTGGTATCTCCGGAGCTGCTGGTATCTCCGGAGCTACTGGTGTCTCCGGAGCTACTGGTATCTCCGGAGCTACTGGTGTCTCCGGAGCTACTGGTGTCTCCTGAGCTACTGGTATCTCCGGAGCTGCTGATATCGCCGGAGCTACTGGAATCTCCGGAGCTACAGGTATCTCCTGAGCTACTGGTATCTCCGGAGCTACTGGTATCTCCGGAGCTGCTGGTATCTCCGGAGATACCAGTAGCTCCGGAGCTACTGGTATCTCCGGAGCTACTGGTATCTCCTGAGCTACTGGTATCTCCGGAGCTGCTGATATCGCCGGAGCTACTGGAATCTCCGGAGCTACTGGAATCTCCGGAGCTACTGGTATCTCCGGAGCTGCTGGTATCCCTGGAGATACCAGTAGCTCCGGAGCTACTGGTGTCTCCGGAGCAACTGGTATCTCCTGAGCTACTGGTATCTCCGGAGCTGCTGATATCGCTGTAGCTACTGGAATCTCCGGAGCTACAGGTATCTCCGTAGCTACTGGTATCTCCTGAGCTACTGGTATCTCCGGAGCTACTGGTATCTCCGGAGCTGCTGGTATCCCTGGAGATACCAGTAGCTCCGGAGCTACTGGTGTCTCCGGAGCTACTGGTATCTCCTGAGCTACTGGTATCTCCGGAGCTGCTGATATCGCCGTAGCTACTGGAATCTCCGGAGCTACAGGTATCTCCGTAGCTACTGGTATCTCCGGAGCTACTGGTATCTACATGGCAGTTCCCTCTCTCTGAATGCTCGGAGCGGTTCGTCGCAGACAGGGAAGGATTCTGTTGATTCTAAACTGTTTGCGATGATCATTAGCAACGCATTAACTTCTAATTTCTGTGTAATGTGAGCTAACGTGATCAACAATGCACAAGTTGGTCATAATGTGTTAATGAAGACATCAATCAAACAGAAGCGATGACAAGTGCAGGACGTGGCAACCAGGGACTCAGAACTCTACTGGTTAGAGATAGAGTTAGAGGGTTAGAGTTAGAGGGTTAGAGTTAGAGAGGGCTAGAGAGTTAGAAGGTTAGGGTTAGAGGGTTAGAGAGGCTTAGAGTTAGAGAGAGTTAGAGGGTTAGAGTTAGAGGGTTAGAATTAGTAAGTTAGGGTTAGAGAGTTAGAGTTAGAAGGTTAGGGTTAGAGGGTTAGAGGGTTAGAGTTAGAGGGTTAGAGTTAGAAGGTTAGGGTTAGAGGGTTAGAGAGTTAGAGAGATAGAGGGTTATAGTTAGAGGGTTAGAGAGATAGAGGGTTAGAGTTAGAAGGTTTAGAGTTAGAGGGTTAGAGTTAGAGAGGGTTAGAGTTAGTGAGTTAGAGTTCGAGGGTTAGAGTTAGAGGGTTACAGAGTTAGAGGGTTAGAGTTAGAGGGTTAGAATTAGTGAGTTAGGGTTAGAGAGTTAGAGGGTTAGAGTTAGAAGGTTAGGGTTAGAGGGTTAGAGAGTTAGAGGGTTAGAGTTAGAAGGTTAGGGTTAGAGTGTTAGAGAGTTAGAGGGTTAGAGTTAGAAGGTTAGGGTTAGAGGGTTAGAGAGTTAGAGAGATAGAGGGTTAGAGTTAGAGGGTTAGAGAGATAGAGGGTTAGAGTTAGAAGGGTTAGAGTTAGAGGGTTAGAGTTAGAGAGGGTTAGAGTTAGTGAGTTAGAGTTAGCGGGTTAGAGTTAGAGGGTTAGAGAGATAGAGGGTTAGAGTTAGAGGGTTAGAGAGATAGAGGGTTAGAGTTAGTGAGTTAGAGTTAGAGGGTTAGAGTTAGAGAGGGTTAGAGATAAAAGGTTAGGGCTAGAGGGTTAGAGAGTTAGAAGGTTGGGGTTAGAGGGTTAGAGTTAGAAGGGTTAGAGTTAGAGGGTTAGAGTTAGAGAGGGTTAGAGATAAAAGGTTAGGGTTAGAGGGTTAGAGAGTTAGAGGGTTAGAGTTAGAAGGTTAGGGTTAGAGGGTTAGAGAGTTAGAGGGTTAGAGTTAGAAGGTTAGGGTTAGAGGGTTAGAGAGTTAGAGTTAGAGAGTTAGAGGGTTAGAGTTAGAGGGTTGGAGAGTTAGAGTTAGTGAGTTAGAGGGTTAGAGTTAGAGACAGAAGTTTAAGGTTAAAGTTAGAGGGTTGAGTTAGAGAGTTAAGGTTGGAGGGTTATAGGTTTAGAGTTAAAGTTAGAGGGTTAGGGTTATAATAATAATAAGAAGAATGCATTGGTTTTTATATAGAGCTTTTTGGACACTCAAAGACGCTCATTATTCTTTCACTCCAAACACGGTGGTGATAAACTACTACTGTAGCCACAGCTGCCCTGGGGCACACTGACAGACCACCACCAACCATTCACACACACCAGACTCATTCTAGGCAATGGGGGTGAAGTGTCTTGCCTAAGGACACAACGGCAGTTTGGCACTTTACAGCCGCAGCCGCCCCACTGTGGCTGATGTTCCCACAGTGTCTTGCCAAGGACACAACGACAGCAGGCATCGGTGCGAGTCGATGGTGAAGGTCGGGCTCGAACCAACGACCCTCTGGCTCAAAGGCCAATGCTTTACCAACTGAGCTACTCTCACCTAACTCAGGTTAGAGTTAGGACTAGAGGGTTAGGGTTAGAGTTAGAGTTGGTGAGTTAGGGTTAGTTAGAAAGTTAGGGTTAGAGTTAGGGTTAGACCTAAAGGGTTAAGGTTAGAGAGTCAGAGATTTAGGGTTTAGAGTTAGGGGTTAGAGTTAGAGTTAGGGTTACAGCACAAAAAGGATCTTGAAAATGACCCAAGAGAGAAGGAAAAATGAACAAATGTATTTCTACTCATTATCCTTTCAGTTTATAATTTACACTTTACACTTGTATATACTTAAGAAAGACTGATGTTATCCAAACTCTAGCTTACACCAGCTTTAGCTTGTGTCCTGCGTTGTGCATTTGTGCATCTCCTCCACACGCTGCTGTTTGTCGGGCTACTCACTGTACTACTCCCTCCGGCGTAATTAACACACAAGCACACATGTTTTTTCAATGTGGAGCAAAACAATTAAAACATGAATTACGACGCCTTCAGTCGGCGTGAGTTCACCGCCAGTACGTGGGCTCACCGGCAGCACGTGGGCCCAGGAGGCTTCAGAGTCTCCGCTATAGCTGCAGTGACATCCATTTTGCCGGTGTCAGAGCTGATGTATGGGTTACTGCGCCGCCCTGGTCCTTCGAGCCGGATCACCTTGTAGGGAAGCATTTAGGGGTCACACCTTATCTCTGCACAACTGCACACACGGAGCTGCTGCTATAGGGGACACGGCATGGGCAATATTTAGAATACACCTCCCTTTAATATAGAGTAGCTATGGTACCGTGGGAGCCGGGAGATAACATTTGTAGCATCTGGAGGTTGTATGGTCTCACATTACTCATATGTACCAGACGCAACGCCGCTCTATTGTTGGTGAAGTACAGGGAAAACATTCTTTATCCCTGGGTTTTTAGAGTTGTTCGTTGCAAATGCAGGAGCTGGGTCCAAGGACAGTGAGGATCCAGGAAACTCCACATTCAACGACATTTATGGATTTTTTTATAGAAATATTAGTGTAACCTATCCCCCACTCTATTTTTCTCTTCTTTTTTTTTCTGACAATAGGGTTTGTCAAACTACTCTAAACTTTAGAATAGTCTAAATTTGTGCATACGTCATTGATCACATCCATCCCCAAATGAGTGCTTGTGTTTGTGTTGTCCTGACTTCTGGACATGTGTAGATGTGTGTTTGAGTCATGTTTTGTTTACGATACCCAAACCATGGTCTGCCTCGTCCAGATCGTCCGTGGGACCCTCACAGACCCTCGTCCTCCAGTCAGTCAGTCCCATATCGTTCATGCTGGTTCCTGTGGAACTGTCCGGAAACGTGGTGGGCCTGGGGACATTTTGTCAGAACCAGTTGTTGCTTTGTCTCTGTCCACTCTTTGACTGCTGCTGTGGGCGGGGCTTCCCTTGTCGGTGGGAAAGTTTCTTGTGAACTGCCCTCTCTCTTCACAGGGATAGAAGCCTGTGGTCCTCTCTCTACACAGGGATAGAAGCCTGTGGTCCCATTCTCTGCAGGGATAGAAGCCTGTGGTCCCACCTGTATCAGGGCGGGTGATGGGCGGAGGGGGCTGGGGACAGAGTTCTTGGTTTTCACGACTTGTTTGGGCACAGGGGGCCGGGACAGAGTTCTTGGCATGACTGGTTTGGGCACAGGGGGCCGGGGACAGAGTTCTTGGCTTTCATGACTGGTTTGGGCACAGGGGGCCGGGGACAGAGTTCTTGGCTTCCATGACTGTTTGGGGCACCAGACTTGTCCATGTTGGGGTTTGTGGGTAACTGACGAGGGTTCTGGTTCAGGAAGGGGTTTATCTTACCCTCCATATCATTGTCCTCCATCAGAGTCTGAGGTTTGGGGACGTTTAGTCACACGTCCAGGGTCTAGGTCGGGGTCCACACATCTGACCGGCTCAGAGGCATCCACGATCCCAGGGTTATCTATGTGAAAATAGAAAAAAAAAGATACGGCAGTAACTTGCCCTTTGATAGATTGCGTGTGCGTGTTTGCGTGCATGTGTGTGTGTGTGTGTGTGTCGTTGCGCCTGTACGCCTCTTGATAGAGTATTCAGGTGGTTCGATTGGGTCTCTTACATACATTCATGCTCTCATTCTGACTTTCCATTCATCTCTCCACACAGACTTGTATTTCTTTGTTTATCAGTCACTCTCACAGTCATTCTCGGTCACTCCAGTTCAAGTCTTATCACTCCTGGCTCACTTCACACATCTCATGTCACTTTCATACCAGTCTGTGTCGCCCAGGACTGTACTGGTTCTGGGCTCTGTATGTGTTTGTAATGTGTGTATGGTTACGTTTCCAAATTGTCTACTCTGTCCATTTGTTTTCTTTCGTTCCCTTCTTTCTGCTTCATTTATCCACACATTCAAACATTTGTCATGTTTAATGATCTCATGTATAATATCAGATGACATTTTCTTTTTCTTGGGTATATTAAGTTTCTCTTTTTCTAAGTTTTCTTTGAGTTTATATAATTGGTTCAAACTGAACGATCCTCCTTCAGGGAAACCGTATTTTTCAGACCATACATTTAAACATTCAAGGGCCGTTGGCCCATATTTTCCGGCCATTGCCTTCGTCACCGCGGTTTGTGGGACCTCGTCCCTGGCAACAGGCAATGATCTCTGATTTTGACCCATCTTGGCCCACTATGGCTGTCCCTAATCTCTTCACTATGCCTCCCAGGATAACCTCACTTCTGTAACCGGGTAACACTTAACACCTCTGGATAAACAGGAACAATTAACCCTTCAGCTCTAAAACCCACTAGTCAAAGTCAAGCCAGTTAACACATCTGAATAAACAGGAACAATTAACTCTTCCGCTTTTAAAACTCACTAGTCTAAGTCAAGCCAGTTAACACATCTGAATAAACAGGAACAATTAACTCTTCCGCTTTTAAAACCCACTAGTCAAAGTCAAGCCAGTTAACACATCTGTATAAACAGGAACAGTTAACCCTTCAGCTATAAAACCCACTAGTCAAAGTCAAGCCAGTTAACATACATCTGAATAAACAGGAACAATTAACTCTTCCGCTTTTAAAACTCACTAGTCTAAGTCAAGCCAGTTAACACATCTGAATAAACAGGAACAGTTAACCCTTCAGCTATAAAACTCACTAGTCTAAGTCAAGCCAGTTAACACATCTGAATAAACAGGAACAGTTAACCCTTCAGCTATAAAACTCACTAGTCTAAGTCAAGCCAGTTAACACACATCTGAATAAACAGGAACAATGAACTCTGAGAACAGGACAGCCAAGGCCTCTCGCTGGGTGAAAATGGGGCTTTTAGTTTTGCGCGGAGAGATAAAATACGGGGCTCTTTTGACAGTTTGAAAGAATACAGCTCTTACCACACTGGTTGTTTACGTTTGTCCGTTTGATAACCATGCGCTGGACGGCATTGCCTCGGCCCGGCGCCAGGAATCTTCTGTAGCTCAAACACGCGAGGAGAAGACCATGCCAGAGGTTGGGGAGGCCACCCTTCCTGGGCCGGGTCCGCGGCGAAGCCCCTCCAGACGATGGGACTGTTCGTTGACGCCAAATTGTTGTGGAAATTCTGCACATATCGAGAGTAAAATAATGTAAACAACTCAGACCTGTAATTCCAAACAAAGTGTGAGTTTATTCATTAGTAAATGTGCACAATTACAATGAATAACAGAACCGATACCAATACCACCTGCAGCCGTCCGAAATCGACTGCCCTGATTGAGGAAATGACTGTACATTAAATAGACCAGAGTAAACAAACACATATCTACTCTACATATTACATAAATGAAGTCAACATTGATATGTGTTGCTCAAGGCTTCTCTTTACGCCTCCTAACGCTGATACAACTCTGATATATGTAACAATCTGCTTTTGAACTGAACATATTGTTCTATGACCCAGGTCAAAGACATGATGCAGCTCGTCTCCATCTATCACTGACCTGAGCCAACAGAGCACTATGGCCTGTATCTGAATCCAGAGTTGACTATTAGTTAATAACTTACACTCATAACTATTTGGTGTTAATTCAGGTTGCTTCACTAAAATATTTCTATAACAGATTTTATTAACATTTATGGACATTGGTCTCTGTGACTTATGGACCAATGGCTCTATGTGTTTTCATTATTGCATTTCCTTTGTGTGATTTTCTGACCTGTGTTGGAGAATTGACAGTATTGTAAAGTTTTCTTAGATGTACTGTTGTGATTTAGGGCTATACAAAAGTTTTGAATTGAAATTGAATTGACTCTCGCATCAGGTTTCATTCAGGTTCATTGGACATACATGTGGACGAAAAGGTTTAAAAAAAATAGTTAGAGCTAGTTCAACATATTGTCCTAGTTAGTTACATGGTACATGGAAGTACCATGTGGCCAGGGTCATGGTAGGAACGGAAGCTGTAGTTAGAAAAGTTAGAATAGCCCAAGTACAAAATGCTGAACACCAGAGACCAGTGAGAGACCAGAGAGAGACCAGAGAGAGAGACCAGAGAGAGAGAGACCAGAGAGAGAGACCAGAGTGAGAGACCAGAGAGAGAGACCAGAGAGAGAGACCAGAGAGAGAGAGACCAGAGAGAGAGACCAGAGTGAGAGACCAGAGAGAGAGACCAGAGAGAGAGACCAGAGAGAGAGACCAGAGAGAGAGACCAGAGAGAGAGACCAGAGAGTCCAGACCAGAGTGAGAGACCAGAGAGAGAGACCAGAGAGAGAGACCAGAGAGAGACCAGAAATGGAGACCAGAGAGTCCAGACCAGAGTGAGAGACCAGAGAGAGAGACCAGAGAGAGAGACCAGAGAGTCCAGACCAGAGTGAGAGACCAGAGAGAGAGACCAGAGAGAGACCAGAAATGGAGACCAGAGAGAGAGAGAGAGAGACCAGAGAAAGACACCAAAGAGGGACCAGAGAGACAGACCAGAGAGAGACCAGGGAGAGACCAGAGAGACCAGAGAGAGACACCAAAGAGGGATCAGACATAGAGACTAGAGAGAGAGAGAGAGACCAGGGAGAGACCAGAGAGAGAAACCAGAGAGACCAGAGAGAGACACGAGAAAGACCAGAGAGAGACCAGAGCGAGAGAGACCATGAACGTCTACACAGAGGACAAGGTGCCAGGTGGACAGTGAAGGACAGTGCTGCACATACACAGTCTAAAAAGCAACTTCTGACTTTGTAATATAAATACATTGCATTGATTCACATTAACGTTGGTAAAAATAACTGACCTAAAAACACGGGAACTAAACCATTACATGTCTTTTTATAAACTTCTGGTTTTCACTGTAAGTACATTGAGAGAAGAGTAAAAATAAAATTCGGGAGCAGAGCAGAGCAGAGAGGTGGATTATCTACAGTGTTCCTCCATTTCTCTGGAAGTATTTCAACTTTTCCATTGGTACAACATTGAGTGGGTTCAGTCCTGGGTCTACAGCCTCAGTCCTGGGTCTACAGCCTCAGTCCTGGGTCTACAGCCTCAGTCCTGGATCTACAGCCTCGGTCCTGGATCTACAGCCTCAGTCCTAGATCTACAGCCTCGGTCCTGGGTCTACAGCCTCAGTCCTGGAGCTACAGCCTCAGTCCTGGATCTACAGCCTCGGTCCTAGATCTACAGCCTCAGTCCTCGGTCTACAGCCTCAGCCCT